TGGGCACTCGTCTCCATTTCAGCACAACATTCCATCCGCAGACCGATGGCCAGAGTGAGTGGACTATTCAGACCCTATAGGATATACTGCAGGCGTGTGTTTCGGATTTTGGTAGGAGTTGGGATACATATCTTCTGTTAGTGGAATTTTCATATAACAACAGTTATCATGCCAGAATTGATCGACCTCCTTTCGAGATGCTCTACGGGAGGAAGTGTAGGTCCCCGGTTTGTGGGGGCGAGGTTGGTCAGCGGGTTATGGGGAGTATCGAAGTGGTACTCAAGACCACTAAGCTGATTCATCAGGTTCGGAGTAGGCTCCAGACAACTCAGAGTTGGCAGAAGAGTTACGCTGACAGGCGTCGGTCAGATTTAGAGTTCCAGGTGGGAGATATGGTTCTCCTGAAGGTTTCACCTTGGAAAGGTGTCATATGATTCAGGAAGCAGTGCAAGCTGGGCCCCACATATATTGGTCCTTTTAGGGTTTTAGCTCGGGTGGGTCGTGTTGCTTATCTCTTGGATCTTCCAGATGAGATCAGTCAGATTCATAGCACATTCCATATCTCTTAGTTACGAAAGTTCTTAGTGGATGATTCTGCAGTGGTACCATTAGAGGATATTTAGGTGGATGACTGCCTGAATTATATTTAGAGACCGGTGGCGATTCTTGATCGGAAGATGGCAACCTTGAGGAACAAGGTCGTAGAGTTGGTGAATGTGCAATTGCAACATCGGAAGGGTTCAAAGTGGACTTAGGAGCCGGAAAATGAGATGAAGGAGCACTATTCGGGGCAGCAAACTTCGAGGATGAAATCTGATTCAAGTGGGGGAGAGTTGTAACACTTGGATTTGGGTATGTTTGGTATGTTCCTTCTTAGCCCCTTTGTATTTAATTATTGCATTTTGGTCCTTGGAGTTAGTATGTGGGGCGTACCACTGGGCACGCTTATCGTACTAGCCAAGAAGCTAGTATGTAGAGTATACCACATGGTATGCTTAGCGTACTAGGTGGGATTGATCGGGGCAACGAGGCCTTGTACACTGGGAAATGAGGCCTCGTACGCTGGGCATACAAGGGGTTAATGAAACCCTAATTTTATGGTGTTGCACCCTATATATAAACTCCTTAAGTCCCTAGGGCCGGCCTCTTTATCAGCCTCCATACCTCATAAGCCCTAAATTTCAACCCTTAGCCTCCCTTGTTGTGTCTTTGAGCTCTTGAGATGAAGTTGGTGCTTATTTTGCTCATTTTTAATGGATTGAAGAAGATTGAAGGTGCATTGCTTAGTGTGAAGCTTAGAGATCCAGAATCATCACTCATTTTGCAAGTCTTTTGAGGTATCAAGCCCATGCCTTGTCTTATCCTTGCTTAGATCTCTTCAAGTTATGATTTTATGCTTCTTTGTCCTCTTTTGGTTGGTCTTGATGGGTTAAGGTCGTTTTAGAAGCTAAATCTTGTAGATCTGGATGTTTGGAGGGTTCATTATGCTTAAAGGTGCAAACTTTATGGGGTTTATGGTCTCATAAGTCATTTATTAAGTCCTTTTGAGCTTTAAGGGCTTCATTAAGCCATTCATGCACATAAAGTTAGCAACTTTACATGATAAACCATCTCATGGAAGCCAGATCTAAGTTTTCGAGTAAAGTCTTGATGGATTAATTGTTGGAAATGAAAGTTGGCTGAATGAGGGAGTACGCTAGGCGTACAAGCAGGTGCGCTTAACATACAAGCCCTAAGGCGAGTACGCAGGGCGTACTCAATGAAGGAGTACGCTAGGCGTACAAGCAGGTACGCTTAGCGTACAAGCCCTAAGGCGAGTACATTGTGCTTACGAGCTGAGTACTCCCCATGTACTTAACAGGTTGGGCCTCATATTCTTGGGTCTTCGGTTTGGGCTATATTTTGGGCTTAGATGATTAGGGCCTTGTTGGGCCATCAAAATTCAAGTGTGGGCTAGGAATATTTTTGGACTTTGGATTAAGGCCCATGAAATGGATTTGGGCCCAATTTGAAAAATTAGGCTATGATTGGGCCTTGGATGATTATTTTGGTAATTGGGCCTTTTAGATTCTAAGTTAGGCTTTAGTATTGGACCAAATTAGGTAAGGGGTAAAATGGTCTTTTTACCCTAATTTTGGACTGATGGTTATGGATTGGAATCCAATTATTAATTAGATGTTATTTGCTATTGATAGCTCAGGGATTTGTCAGACCAACAATCATAGATTTATTCGTGTGATTTTATAGTTCGAGGTGAGTTTCATCACCGTGTTTAGTGGGTCGAAGGCACAAATGCCAGCCCATGATCTGTTATATTAGAATACTTAATGTCTTTGTGACACTTATATGTGTATGTGCTTATATGCTTACTGGGTGGGGCTCGATGGTTATCCTGTATGCTATTACATGTTATGCTTATATAAATTGTATGTGGGAGGTGTGGCAACCCGAAATTTCTAGCTTACATTCTTCTTTTATATCAAATTTAGCTTCGTTTTGCTATATTATAATGAAGTTTTGGATCTAAAAGAGTGCTTAAAGCTTAGTATAATTGAGCTACGTGTCGGAGGATGGGTTAGTTTGGTTGTAGCATTGGAAAAATGAGCCAAACACAGCAAAACTGGTGTGTGCGACCGCACACTAGTGTGTGCGGCCAGCCAGTCACACACAGACCAACCACACACACCTCCAACCGCACACACCCTCCTATAAGTACTATCCTTGGTCATTTTGATCATTTCTTACACTCTTGCAAAGCTAGGACTCAAAAATCCTCTCAAGTATCATTCGGAAAGGTAACATCTTTCACCAAGAACACCAAGAACACCATGTTTTCTGGCAGCACACACTTCTGGTAGCACACCAGGTCACACACCTGGCCGCACACAGGTGCTGGCAGCACACCTTGCCGCACACATGGTCGCACACACACTTATAGTGTGTATTTTGGCCATACACTCTCTTGTATAGCCTTTTAACCCTTCGTACAATCATTTATGGTTGTAAAACATCAAAAGAAGTGTTTACTAGTCCCTAAGGTGGTCCCAATTCGTTAATTAGTTATTCATAACACTAATTATATTCACATATGTGCCAATATATGCTAAATAGGATTCGCGTGTGTACTCAAGTCACCACTTGATACTTAGCAACAGATCCAACATTGTCATCAGAACCACTCACTACAAGTGAGTTCATACCCCTAAAATAACCTTTGAAATGTTTTTAAATGCTTTTAGGGGGGGGGGGGAATACAAGTTGAACAATTATAGTTATTATATCAATCACATGTGATTAATGACTACCAAACAAATGGTTTACTTACTTTCCAAACTATTTATCAAACTGTTTTACCTCAAATTGTCTTACAAACTCTTTCAATGGTCAAATACTTTTACTTAAACTCTTTTGAACTTATATTCTCTGTATCTATATAAATATAGTTATATAAGTAGGACTGAAAGGACTTAGGACTGCTAGTCTACCTTGCTTCCCGTTCTTGTTTGATGTGGTCTTAGCGTATCAAGGTTAGTTGTCCGAAGGTCGTTTGAATCCTAGTTATGTACTATGTATATGTATATAGATATAAAAAGTTATTTCTTTCATCCAAATCCATGCCCTTGGGTAGCACGGGCATACAGAACAATGAAACATACAATGAGTCAGTTCATACATGAGTCAATACATACTTTACTAGTAAGCTACCATAGGGGTAGTTTAGGAAGATACTATTACTAGAACAATGAAACATACAATGAGTCAGTTCATACATGAGTCAATACATACTATGATGAGAATCAAACATGAAACAGAGTGAGGAGAAACAAACAATAGACACTATGACGAGAAACAAACATACAGGCTAGATAGAGAAAGAACGCACAATACAACTAGCACACATATACATTACATATACATTACATATACATAAACATAGTTATGTGAGCCATTAAGCAGGGCATGTCACTACATGCCATGACTGTTTTGTATCAGAATCTCCTTAATTGGGGAGCGTATGAGTTTGTGTATAGATCTATACTGGATTATAAAAATATTGAATTATAAAAATTAAAGTGTTTTTTTTCTTTAAATTTAAACAAATAATTTAGATAAATAAATAAAAGAAATTAATAAAGCTTTAATCTAGTAATTTTGAAATTAAAAAGAAAGTTCATTAAAGAAATTAATATGCATTTAGCATTTATTAAATACTATGTGAAATTAATAAAATAGAAAAACCATAAAATGACATGTGGAATAAAAATTAATTCAAAATAACTACAAAATGATATTTGACAAATTGAATGAGAGTGTGACAAGTGACAAAAAAAACATTCATTTATTAGAGTAGATATATAAATCTTATTTATATATAAAAGATTCATAATAAATTTTCAATAAAGTGTAGAGAAAATAATTATTAAGGAACTATATATTTTGGTGTATAACTTTCTTTTTAATAAATGTCTATGATTGAGTCCAAGATACAAACCAGTAGTACCATCTAAAGCCTTCATGATGATAAATGGTGAATTAAACTTTACTTGATATAGTTTATTTTCTAATCGATAGAAATATCCTCATTTTTAATATTTTTGGGATTACACTTCAATCACTATTAGTTGTATCTAGAATACAAACACCAACTAATTAGGTCTTTATTCTCTTCTCTTCTTCTATCTTCCTCTCTTCTTCTCTCTTGCATACCACGAGGAAATGGATGTTGAGCACCTTCCGAGCTAGGTTGAGGAAGAGTTGTGGTGGTGACCTGGAGGTGGAAGACGATGGTGGTCGTGAAGACCATGACGGATAGTCTAATAACATAAATAATTATACAACAATTAAAAATTTAAAAGGAAAAAGCAAAATCAAAGCAAAAACTAAAACTAAATTATAAAGATTATCTTTAGTGAAAAACAACCACATAATTTACACAAACCAAATAAAAGATTGATGTAAAGTGTAATTAAAATGATAAGTAGTCCTTTTCTGAAAAAAGGAGTCGACTTCCTTCGGTCGACGAGGATGTCTGTCCAAACTACATAAATCTTGAACTCTTGACACTACGACACGTCTTTTCTTGACTAACCCAAAAACAAGCCGACTTCCTTAAAATCTCACCTACATAAACCCTAGAAACAACCACACCTCCACCCACAAATTCAGGAGAAGAAACGAAAAAAAAAAATGAGCGCAGGTTTCCTCAAGAATGGCAACAAGGCACACATCTACATCAACACCATCTGGAAAAGACACTCGATTTCCGATTCACTTGGAGCTCCGATTACCAGAACCCCTTTCCAACAACCCAAAGCTTCATACTCCCGATTTCCTCAAAGAAAAGCGAAAGACATCGAGTTTTCTGTTCCATTTCCGACCACCAATACACAGAGCGCATCGCGTTTATCGTCGATTTCAAAGAGTGCGTTTATTGGATGGTATTTGGGTATGATTAAAACCCGACCCATTCTTACTAAAAGCATCACCTCTGCTCTTATTTATACTGCTTCTGATTTATCCTCTCAGGTACTTGAATCTGCTCTTCGTTTTCTGTTAGATTTCTTCTTATTGTTACTGGGGTTGTAATTTCTTGATTTTTAATCGAGTTTATATGTTCAAAATGTGTCCTTTTCTTGTTCAACTCATATTCAGACAATTACTCGATCATCTTCAGAGTCTTACGATGGTATAAGAACTTTTCGCATGGCTGGATATGGAATGATCGTATTAGGTCCAGCACTACATTATTGGTTCAATTTCGTATCGAGAATCTTTCCAAATCGTGACCTTATGTCAACATTCAAGAAAATGTTCTTGGGTCAGGCGATATTTGGACCTGTTATGACTGTCGTGTTCTTCTCTGTGAATGCAGGCATACAAGGTTACTAGTTTCTTCACTTCTTGCTTGCATTTTAATGGCTGCCTTTGGTGTTTTACTTTGAGATTTGTGTAATTTTGATCGAATGATTCACAGGTGAAAATGGTAGAGAAATTGTTGCTAGATTGAAGCGAGACTTGATTCCTACTATGATCAATGGTGTTATGTATTGGCCTGTTTGTGATTTTATCACATTCAGATTCGTCCCTGTTCATTTGCAGGTAATTAACCAAAAAAAAATCATTTCTTCGTTGGTTTGATTCATTGATTCATTGATTCATGAAGATTTTGATGTTAAATCGTGTATTGGTTTTGTGAAAATGCAGCCATTAGTGAGCAACTCATTTGCGTACATATGGACTTGTTACATGACATACATGGCAAGCTTAGAGAAAGCAGGGATCAAGTAACAAAAGTTGTTAGAGCTATCAAGTTGTTACAATTGTAGGAAGTTGGAGTTGCAGAAATGTTGCATTTATTTTGGCCACTAATTGAGAATATGAGACCACTTGTGTAGATTAGGCTGGAGCTATTAGAGCTATTAAGTTGTTACATGGTGAATCATATCTTATAGTAATCATACATCCATTTACAGTCTTTTATTCTCCTCAATATCTCTTTTCTTAAGCACACAAGGTAAGATTATAAAACCTATGACTCTGTCAAAAAGTGTCATAATTGTAATACTTTTGGTGGCCGAAACTGTTTCCAAATAACACGTTTGGAATGCAAAGAGAAAGAAAGAAAAATAAAATTTGAAATTATACATGAAGATATGTTAGATGCAACATGCTTTCAGATGATTGTTTTTCTTTGTTTTGTTTTTTTCCATTCCGAAAGGCGCAAAAGGGTGTGAACCATGATGGCGAAAAGTTGTGAACCATAATGTAACACCCATGTCCAAAAAATAGCAACTTTCAAAAGCAAATATAGGGAAAATGACTTGTGTGGGTAATTAATTATTTCCTTTGTATTTTTTTTTTGGGTATCTCATTTACCATCAAATTTGTTATAAGTGTTCACAAAAATCGGCTATTGAAGGTTTCCGACAGTTTCTTATCTCCGACAACTCTCCAGTCGTCTTCTCCGACGAGCCTCCGGCAAAAATGAGTTTTTTCCGACAGACTTTTCAACTGCCATCCAAGTGATACCTGCCGCCGATGCTGCTACTTAGCTTTCTCCACCTCTTCTCTCTCCCTGACGAAGAAGGGACGAGGCAACAAGCCACCTATCACCTCCTCCCGCCATCACCGAAACCTACCTGCTACCTCCCTTTTGCCGCCGGTAAACCACCATCACCACCTCCTGCTGCTTGCTGCTGCTGTAAGTCATCTAGCCGAGATTAAAGGATCCGTCAGAAAACTCATTTTTGCTGGAGAAGACGACCGGAGAGTCGCTAGAGATAAGAAATTGTTGGAAATCTTCAATAGCTAGTTTTAATGGTTTATGTGAACAACTGCAATAAGTATAATGGTAAATCAGATACAAAAAAAGGAAAATGACCAAATGAATACAAAGACAATAGTTAATTACCCACATAAATCATTTTCCCAAAAATATAACATCAATAATACACATGTCATCTAAAATGATATATTTGCTAATGTAGGCTTTTATAACAAAATATATTTGCTATTGTATGCTTTTATAACAAAATATATTCATAACAAGGTCGTAGGGAGTGGTAGCATCTTTAGTATGCTGTCATATATGATTTTTTTAAGCCACATAAGATGGAAAGGGTGGTAGCATCTAAGTTGTAAAAGTTAGAGAGTGATACCATCTAAATCCTGTGTTATTTTTATTTTGGAAAAACAAAACAAAAAATAAATAAAAGAAAAATGAAGTCAATCACAATTCTTTCTCTTCTCTTCTCTCGTTACCCGGTTGACAAGCTATCCTTAGTGAAGCATGTAGCACGGTTGATGGGAGTGGTGGAGGTGAGCTCCTGGCACAAACTACTCGTTACCCGGTTGACAAACTATCCTTAGTGAAGCATGTAGCACGGTTGATGGGAGTGGTGGAGGTGAGCTCCTGGCACAGGCTACTCCTTCTAGCCTAAGGCATATCATGCAAGTAGCAAACATGTACGGTTTGCTTTGATGATGAGTGTCACTTTACAATCGCATCTACAAGTACTTTCAAAAATGTTTTTGTAAATAGAACCGACAAAAATCGATCCAATCCACCAACTCAACCTAAAATTGGAAGGTTGGGTTGAGATTTCCAACCAATTTAAATTAAATGGGTCAACCCGTCTAACTTATTTAATTAAATAGGTTGGGCTGGGTAAAAATTATCAATCCATTTTCAACCCTCAAACACATTTAAGTATATTATATATTTAAATTAATACATTTTTTAAACATTATTATGTATTAATTTAAATATTAATTTATAAATCCCAATGTTGTATTATGATTTATGTTGTAAAAAATACAATCATAATTCTTAATCTTTTTTACGGACAACATTAGTTACTCTTCAATATCACTTCAAAATTACACATCTTTGATGTTATTTGAACAATTTCTTTGTATTTGCGAATTGAGATTATGCTTTTGTCATACTTTGAAATTTTATTTAAGTTTAGAAGTAATTTAAATGGTTCAATCTTTAGTTAATTTATTTACTTTTTTTTTTAATTTTAAATGAGTTAATCCAACTTAAACTAATTTATTTAATAGGTTGTGTTAGAAATTATATAAACAGCTCAATTCGATAACAACTCATTTATCTGAAATGTTAGGTTGGGTTGGATTAAAAATATCAACTCATATAAATAAACAGGCTATGCTGGATTGAAATGATCAATCTAATTAATAAATGGGTTGAATTCAAACTCAACCTAAATCGATTCATTGCCAACTCTACCTGTAAATTGTTTTTTTTTTTTTTTTTTTAATGTTGGCAAGATTATGATCGGATCGTATAAAGAGTTATAAAACCATCATATTACATTCTTTACTAAACATTGTTTTCATCTATTTTTATTAAATATTTAGAATTTTGTCCACTAAGACACCATTATACTTAACTATTAACATTTTTATGACGAGATGATTAACTTAGAGTATAATCCATTAATCACCATATTAAAGTATAAAGAAATAATTTTACTCTTAACTATATTTATTTAAATGTTTTTAAACCAATACAGTAAATAATTTATACCTGATAGTGTTGTAAAATTCGGTCAACTCGGCCGAGTACTTGGATTCGGCCTCTTACTGAGGCGGGTTAAGCCTACTCAGCCAAATAACTCGGAAATTGGTCAATATCGGTACAACTCGGACCAAATCGATCAACTCAGGAGAGTACTCGGCCAACTCGGTCAAATGGTCAAAATTATCTTAAACAGAGAAAAAATCAAGAATTTTAAGATTAATGTGTAAAAGACACTTAATGATGTATTATTTAACACACATATGCGATTATTACTACATATATATCGTAAATTTTCAGTAATTATTCTCGAAGTGAACCACTGTGTGTATTTCAGTTTTTGTGTATTTATATGTATCTAATTTTGTTATGTATTTCAATCAACTTATGATTTTGACATTATATTTTTTCTAAAAATATTTCTTCATGAATTATCAAATCCGAGTACTCCCCGAGTATTCTCAAGTACTCGTTACTCGGTAGTCGGCCGAACAGGTACCGGTTAGCGAGTTCTACAACCTTGACACCTGGTCCCATAACAATTTACATGACTTAACTATTGTCTTAGGATTTGTGGGATGGTAGGACCCAGATGTTTTCACAATAATTTAAATAGTCATATAAATAATAAAATGGTATTATTATATATACCCATAATTTATAAAATTCCTCCATCTACCCCCTCCCACCATATTGTCATTTTGTAGTTTTCTTTATTTTGTTTTTTATTTTTTTTTATTTTTTTGTTTTTTGTTTTTTGTTTTTTTTTGTTGTTTTTATTTTTTTTTATTTTGTTGTTTTTTATTATTATCTAATAATAAAAATTAATAAGCACAACTTTTTTTAAAAAGCTCATTTTAATAGTCAAAGCATCTTCATCTTTTCATCCATGATGTTCATGACTTTTAATAATACATTTTTATATAAAAAATAAATCTCCTTTTAACAGTCAAAACATCTTCATACCATAGATAATTCATTTTTATTTTGTCATTTTATCTCTATTTGTAACAATAAAAAAAAATCATTTTTTTCAATCATCACAATCATCACAAACCAAACGAGATATACAGGAATGGAATCTTACTTTATTATCTTTCGTCTGTTAAAATTCATTTTCAACCTTTCAACTTTTATGATATATTCATTTTCTTTGCATGTTATTCAATCGATTATCTTTAATAATAAAGAAATTGATTTGATGCTTTATTTTCTTCCATTATTACATATATATATATATATATATATATATATATATAATACGATCGATCGATCAATTGAAATCATTCAAAATTCCATCTCTCACATATCTACGTAAACATATCTATAACCATTGAATCATATGACGGATTTTCAGACTAATCAATTTTTTTTTTTTTTTTTTTTTTTTTTTTTTTTTTTTTTTTTTTTTTAGTTTTAGTATACTAATACGTTGACATAATTATCATGCTGAGCATGTATGTATTTTATTTGTCAGATGTTTAGCACCCGTGAAAATCTGAAGGAATGGGTTGACAACGTGGCATGAATTCTCGGATATGTGGTCATTACAAAAAGATCAAAACCGAAAACAAGTGGTGGCTATGTTTCAAGAATCATTTTAGTTTGTGATCGGAGTGGTGTGTATAAAGGTACAAATACATGAGGCAGAAATAAGACAGATGATTTTTGGACCTTGAAAGTTATAAATGGTGAACATAATCATGACCCTACAATGTATATGGAGTGTCATGAATTTTCAAGATGGCTGACTGCAGATGAGCGTTGTATGGTGGAAGACATGACAGATAATGATGTTCGTCCACGTAATATTCTTTCGGCATTGAAGAGTCAAAATGAACACAATGTAAGCATAATATAAACCATTTATAATGCACGAGAAAAATATCGATCACAAATGCGTGCAGGTCGAAGCAAAATGCAAGTTGTATTCGAAATTTTGTTGTTAAAATGATATATATATATATATATATATATATATATATATATATATATATAGGTCGAAGCGAAATGCAAGTTGTATTCGAAATTTTGTTGTTAAAATGATATATATATATATATATATGTGTGTGTGTGTGTGTGTATGATACATATGATACGACAAATGAGTTAAAAGGCTTGTTTTTTGTTCATCAGACATCATTCAATATATTGTGTGCATTTTCATAAGTGTTAATGATGGATGCTACATATAAGACAAACAAGTATAACATGTTTTTTATTGAAATTGTTGGCGTCACTTCAACAAACAACACATTTTCCATAGCTTTCGTGCTTACAGACAAAAAGAAAGAGGCAAATTATACTTGGGCATTAAATCGTCTAAGGACCACATTGGGTGGATACGATGGGGCATATGTAATCGTCACATATAGAGAATTAGCTTTAATGAATGCATGTGTAAATGTATTCCCCGAATCGTATTTAGCAGAAGTATTTCTTCCAATACGTTTAAACATACAGTTAATTTGTTCTCATTCTTCATCTGATCATCAACTAATCCATCACGAATTTTTTCTCAATCCTAGATTTGTTCTGAGGATTCATTGACCTTTTTGAAGGACTGGAAAATCTAAAAATCAATAACGTATAGAAATTGATTAAAAATTAAGAATAAGATGAACCCAATTTGGCGATAAAAACGATGTCAAAATATAGGATCTTTGATGAAAAGGGAAATTATACCAGGTGGGTTGTTTGATGATGATAGAACTCGTTCGTCTACTTTGCTACTTCACTCAGTTGTACATATCTTTCTAAGTATTTGTATGTGTTTCTCTCTCTAAAATCTTTAGTTAAGTGTTAGAGAGAGAAAGAAAAGGTTGGTTTGGCTGTTTGGTTATGAGTGTTTGGAAGATTTACAGTGTCGTTGCAGTAGCCGTGGTTGCTGTTGCAACAATGTCGACACGAAGACGAAACATGTGGGAAATCAAGGATTGAAGTCATTGGAGAATGATGGGGTTGTGGGGGGATATTCCAACCACCTGTCTCTCTTACTCCTAGTCCCGCTAAGAAGCAAAAGGAAGGTCGTCTCGGTAACCCAGTCGAAGTTTATGATGGTAGGGATGACACTTGCATCATACTCTATAAATGAAAAGAGCATACCAGAGTAATGGCTGGTGATGCAGAGCACATAAATATCCATAATTGAAAATCCAAAATCAAAAGTGATGTTAGTAAGAGGCGACGAAGACGAACCGAAACCCTTTGGAGGTGGCGACACTAAGTCGATCTAGACTTCAGACCTTTTGGAGAGAAGAATACATTTC